TCTGTCTTCATGTTCTTCTTTTGTTGAATCCCTTACAATATTTCGACAGAGATTTATTTCTTATGATGATGGTTCTAGTAGCCCAGAACCTTCTGACACGTTGAAATTAGTCCTTCTTTGATCCCTCCCCAGTTCTCTTCCATAGTAATTTCCTCTCCCATGAGTAGACGTTGTAAGACTTCGAAACTGTTGCTGAGAGCTATCTTGAATTTGCTGAGTTTGTCAGCATCTCGGAAGAAGACTGTATTAAACCTTTGTACTGCTGTTTCTCCAGTTTTCCAGTGCTTCTTTAGCTTCAGTTTCATCTGAACAACCAGCAGTTAGTGGTGATCTGAAGCTATGTCAGCTCCTATGTTGGTTCTCACATCTTCAATTACCCTCTGAAATTTTTAGCGATAAAGATGTTTCTGGCTACATTTTTATTTTTCAGAATAAATAACGCCAAAAAGCTTTGTTATTCGTCAGATATGGATTCTTCTTGCTTATTTTTATTTAATACCATACTTTCTGGATAACCTCATTTTTCCATACTTCATGAATTTACTCGTATTTTGATTGTAGAATTGAAATTTCGTAACGGGATACCATAGAAACACCCTTTAAAAAAGATAAACAAATGCATTTCACCGTCAATTTAGTGCATTTTATTATCGAGATTTATGAATGTTTCATATCAAAGTGAATTACAATTAACTTTTAAATGAGTATGACTTCTTTTGATTTGTTACGTTTATTTCAGCCTGTGTTTAAGTACATCCCTGTGTTGGTTTGAATTTACTTAATCAATCATCTTCAAATAAATTTTTACTGTAGCAAACATTGTTCAAGATCACATTCAGAGTACATCATTTAAACCTTCAATAAATCTCCATAGGCGTAAAATCTGTTTAGAAATAAAAATGGCTTTTTAAACGCACTAGTAAGATATTTAAATCAAATATATGATAGACGCTTTGACAGGAAGTAAAAATTGCATCATTTCTAATGTAAAATGATATTTTCTAGTCATGAATTTCAGTAACTTCAAATTAAGTTAGTCCTTGATGACATGTGTCTACATGAAATAGAAACTTCTCAATATTTGTTTTTCCGTCAATCTCTTAACAAACAGAAATCATTCAAGATCTAATAAATACCGATAAAAGAGATCAAATAATCCCTAATCGTTTGTAAGGTTATTTTCGGGAATGAAGAAAACTTCGCTCTCAAATAATAAGGTCTTCATAAAAATGATTAACAAATACGTTTTAATCTTTTCTTCTTTATTATAAAACTATAAAAGCACACATAAAATGAATCATAATTGAATACCTTGCTTCTGAATATTCTGTACGTCGTATGCACATGGCTGACTACATTGCTACTCTACGTTTCTCAATTAACTGAAAAAACTAGTTCAATCAGTTGGCGTGCTATGTCTCGGTACCGATATTTTTACAATTTCACCTTAGAATGGAAAGCCTAAATGCATATACTGCTCCAGTTTCTAGCTAAATCATTTACTGTGGAGGTTTTAGTTTATCTGATGATACGGATTTTGATAGATTTGATCAACATTATTTTCCATATGATGTCATAATAATCAATTAATCACATGCCAGTGCTAATTGTGGTCATTATACGCAAGAAAAGGTAACAGAAACAAATATTTTACAAGGATTTATTAAGCTGTAATCTCAACTACTAAGGGAGTGAATATATTCTTACTTTACTCATCGAGTAACTTGGTCTTATCCAAATCTTAATATAATCAACATATTGAAGTTTGATATTAAAATGATTTTATGCTAATTAGCAAAACTAATCTGACATATAAACATTCTGGAACTCATGCATAAACCGAGATACCTGTTTTTGTCGAATGAACGGATTATATTTCAATAATATATTAGTAGACTCAGAAGTTACATCTTAACGGATTTCTTCTTTTAAAATCAAAACATTTAATTTGACGTTTGACTACTTGTAGTTATTTGAGTAGTCCAAAAATAACCGAAAAAGTGCTTTGGAAAGTTTGATACAAAAAGATAACATCCAGTAACAAGAAACATTTAAATGAGAAATAAACTACTTAGGACCTTCCAGTCAATTTTTAGTGAGAAATTTCAACAAAAGGTTTTAGGTCCAATAATGATGATGAAGTGACCATCCTAGAAAGTTAAATGTAGTTCATTTATCAAGATTTCACATAATCACCCATCAGTTCAATGATTTCACATGTGATTACATTTTCTTTCTAAATCATTCTAGAAAGTTGTGAATCCACTCCTCAATCCATAAAGTCGGATTCATATTAAACTACTTGTATAATATGATGGAAGAACGGTTATAATCGTATTATGTAGATTTATCAAAGGGATTAATTGTTTTTAATTAAACTATTTACGTGTTTTCATAATATAAAAAAATGAGTTGACGACTGTTATGATGTCATATGGTAATACGAAAATATTAAATCAATTTGTTTGTGTGAATAAATGTTTAGTCACTTAACTTCACGTAAATAGCTTTGTTTTATGCTGTTCAAATGCAGAATTCAACAGACCATCTCTTTCTAATAACATAACAACAAATACAGTTTTGTGTTATTCAGTTGATGTATGTTTAATTAAACTACTAAGAATAATTTTTGTCTGGGAAAAATGATTTAGTGAATTGAACAATACCTATATCCCAATCGAGACCTTGAAACAGCACACTCTTGTTTCCTAACAACAACATGATTGAGAAGCAATACATCTACACCGCATCAAAATAACTAGGCCAATACATTACCATGATAGTAATAGTTATAATAGTGGTGGTAACAATTATTAGTATTATTATGATTATCATTATTATTTTTGTGGATCTTGTGATGTGGAGGAATGAGAACTACAAATTATTGTGATGTGGACATGTTACCTTACATGCTACTCCGTAGTTGTTTGTGAAGACAAAATGCTTTGAAAGTGAGGTCAATGTTCTTTTTTCAGTGGTCCAACGAGTTAAATAATTCACCCTTAGATAATCGAAAGGCTGTAATCAATATTCAGTTAACTGATGTCAATTATTTGCCCCTTATTGAATAATTTTTATGCTGTACTTATATGGAATAAGGTGATACACCCAAGTTTTGATGATAGTCCTTTAAGGTTACTTTACATAGTTTAACTCGAATTTGTTTAATTCTGCTTTTATGTAAATACTGTTTTCGAAATTGGGAACAGTTTCTCGTAAAGACGGCAATTGTAAAGATCGGTTGAGACAATCATTTGAAGACATAATGTTCGTATTGAATAACGAACCTCACACAATACACCAACTTATTTCCAGTGTCTTCTCTTGTCTTCATGCACTGATTCGTTCGTGATTACTAGTGTATTTCCAACAGAATAAAGTTTTTCAGGGAGAGCGCGAAACCTAGGTCCAAGCCGCGAAAGATAGAAACTCTTTACTCCAAAGGTTAGTTTATGTACCGAAAATCTAGGGTTTTATAGTATTTTAGATGGCCTTGGGTTTCCCGGAAATTCTGGAACGCTACTAAACACACTAGCAGTACACTTAACCACTCAATCACAAACATGACATGTGACTTCACTTTCTAGATGTTTCTGGCAAAACGTCTACTGAATGCTGATTAGATAAGATGCTTTTCAAAGCCTTTCTTCGAGTTTTCTGGATCTCTTCAACAAATAGCTGCGATTTCTCTCTTAACTAACGAAAATGATTCCCCATATAATTTAGATTGCTTCGCTCCAACTTGAGCTAGTCCGTAAAAAGTAGTTGACTATGATCTATAGCAAAACTTGAAAGAATCATACGCGATCAATCTGCTAAATCTAACCAGCTTAAATACAAGAACTTTCGCTTTCCCATCAGCATTCATTACCCGTGCATGTTATGATGACGACAAGCAAATGCATATTCCGTTCAGAGTGTTGAGAAGACTAAAATTTATGCAGTTTTGTGTTATTAAATGTCAGTTTTTTTCTTGAGGCGATTGCACTGAGTTCATTTTTCCACATTTGTATTTTCTCATGGCTTATGCTTCTTACTGATTGACTGTCGCTTCTCGCAAGTTGCTAACTTTCTTGTCTCAATGTCATGTTTCATTCCTACGTTCACAGAGTTGTTCTAATTCAACTTTCTCTTGATTAAATATGAAGTTTTTCATACATTTTGACTTCTCCAAGTATTACGTCATATTTGCAAATTTTTATTGAAGTAATTGTGTGTTAACTACTATTATACTGAGTGAAAAATAAATCTAACCTGCATTAAAATTACCTTAGCTTGTTAATAGTTAGAAATTATAGCAAACGCAACTGAAAATCAAGTCTCAAAAGACAACGAAAAGAAATATTCAAGATTCCTTGTTATATCCGGACGAAGAAGAAGTGAATGGTAACTGCTATGATTTATTTATGGACTGTTATTACATATATTCTTATCGTATAACTGTTAAGTATATTATATGCATATTAATATTCCTTTTATTATAAGATTCCATTTGACATATTGACTACTATTATACCGATTTACTATTCTTAAGTTATAGATATCAATACCAAGGGTTAACTTGATAATTACAAACAAATCGAGCATTGGGTAGATTGTTATAAATTAGATTTTCTCACATTTCGTGACTCAGTGTAAGCCACTTCAGAGAATAACCGAATTAAATTAACCCAAGTTATTCCCAATTTATCAGTTACAGTATCTCACACTCATGTTTACTTAGAGCCTGATCTTTTGTAATCGTTATTTTCTGTTTTAGGGTATGATACAGTTTGATTTGCTTGTATATAAACTGCTTATGTTTGTAATAGATGATTCATATAGCGGAGGCTGATATTGGTGTTTCAGGCGGGAAGCTACTATCTCTGACGATCAATAAGAACTCTGAATTGACTCTAAGCTGTTCGTACTAGTCATTGGTCTGATCATGGAAGTCGGTGATTTTAATTGGCGATTTAGTCATGTGATATATTAACGGGTTATATGGACATAACACAATAGGAAGGAAAACAATTATTTATTTGAAAGCACATAACACATAATATTCAAACCAACATTGTTTGAATAAATAACGAGATAAGATAATTAAGGCACAAATAAATAGTATTCATGCATATAATAATACACTTTATAAGTGTAAATATAACTTCAGAATGTATTGTAATGAATACTGTCAGAATAATATTACTTGGAATTTCATTCCATTTTTTTAAAGTTGACATGATCATTCACTTCTTTTTTTCTAACTGCTATTAAATACTATTCGAGCAGTTTGTCCAATTCTTTCGATTTACGATTATTCGATACAACAGTGATTGGAGCGAATGGATGATCAGTTTTTTGCAAGTAATCCTAATAATTAAAGAAATAAATAAAAAGGGATAATCAAGAAAAAAACATAACCACAGATTTTCCATGGTGGTCCAGCTTCAACTAACTCATGATCTCAACTATTAAAATCACATAACTTTAAAAAAAACATTGTTATACGTCAAACATATTTCATATGATCACTAGTTGTTTAAAAATGAATTGTGAATATTATCGACGGAACTATGCTTGTGTCGAAATATCAGTATAGAAAAAGGTGGATTCATCTACCATTTTCTGATCGATACAAGTAATAGAAACGTATTAAAACTGTTAAAATCATTATTACATAATAGAAATTATTTTCTACTTAAAAATAACATTTTGATTAAGGTGCTTTTTAATCAGAAAGAATTAACTGAAAAGAAGACTTTATTGTAATACCCAATTCCCTAAATTTAGTTGTAATAGTTGAAAACTTGCTTGATATAATTCATTCTGTTTTAAAGACTAAATATTTACTTTCGAAACAAATGCCAAAATTTATTTAACAAGACATTTATGCATTGATTTGATGTAAGTTATCAATGCATACAAAATTCTACCTCCCCCCCAAAAGGAAATAAAAACATAACATTTGAGGGACTATTTTACAGGAAATTATCCTTAACCATAATAGATCATTTCATGTAATAAATTTAATGGAAATCTTGAAAATGTATTCATTATTTTAGTAGTAATGTAAAAGTAAGGCATAAATGTAATGTAATTAATCATATTTAACAACAGAGATGTTCATTACTGACATGTGCTGTCTCATATTCTCGCACTTGGTTTTACTTAGAAGTTATCAAAACGATTAAATATTATTATTGACCGCATTCAGTTTTTTTTGTACTTCACTATAATGAAGATTTTTGATAGATTTTTATTGTTTTCAATCTTTGTGCACGTTCATTTCTAATTCGCAATCAGTTTTATTAAATAATTAAGATTACAAAATGTAAAAATTCCCACTCTTGAGTTGTTAAGTTCAACTTCTCAACAGTATTTCAACTGACGTAATTCGGGGAATATTTTCAACTGATGTTAATAATAGCTATGTGGCCAATATCAACTAGCTTGAAGATGGATACCGGAAGTTCTAGTGAGAAACCATATCTCACTAAGGTATTCAACTCTAGACCTAAACAGCAACATACCGATGGCGTTCGATAACGAGTGTTGTGTATTAAAATTTGATTGAAAATGAGAATTCATAATCAGTTTCAAAGTGTTTAACTGAGACAACAAATCGGATTTGATGTCATATGGTCGCCATGTATGTGTACAACTAACGGACAGTTTCCCGGTTGATATCAGTTTGCCAGCTAAACTACCGTCAATTTGAATACTAACAGCTTCCATAGATCAGTTATTTTGTTCAAAGATACCTAGAGTGACATAAAATAAATTTATACTCAAACACTAACAATCTAATGTGATTAGTTAATTACAAATTCATTTGTTTATTGTAATTATAAATATGATTGCATCATCTTCATAAGTGTATAATGCATAGTCAAAGAAACAAACACACACACATGCATACATAATGTAAGTTCATGTAGATATCTTTACATATTCAAATGGTACAAAATAGATTCTGTTGAATTAACATTATTCAACCGTCTAATAAATGTTATAGAGTAACACACAGCACATGTACTAATAATATTTGTAACAAGTAAGTACATCACTGTGTCTACGTGTGTATGTGTGTGATACAACCCATAAACATATAAATATCAAATCACCTGTCTCAGATAATACTTAAAGAATATGAAATAGTTTGATTAATAACACTGATTATGAATTAGTTCCAATATGATATAAAAGTCTGTATCGGAAAAAAATGTTTTGTTCTTTTAAGTTTCGGTTCGGAACTGAGGTAATTTCAATAAAATATTAGGTTAAAGAGTAAAGAAAACCAACCAAACATTTATAAATTCTAAGCAGATTCAAGTCAATTTTTTTAAATTGATCTCAGTTAGATAGACATTGGGAATCAAATACAGTAATGGTTTATTTGCTTTGTATTAATTTGAAGCTATTCATAAGTGTGCAGTACTTACAATCATTAAATAAAAATGAAGTTAGAATTAAAGGGTTTCGTAGTATATTTATACTTCTGATATTTAATTAACAATGACAAATAGTTACAACTTATAAAAATATTTATCACTAAGTACATTAAAAATTACCATTAGGCAGACTTTAAAATATAAGTTCATTCAAAAAAAAATTTGACAGGGAATATTCAAGTTATTGCCATAGTAAAATTTGGGAATTTTATGGCTTTACATCTATACTCTTTGTCTATAAAATACAATGGTACTTCTCTCTCACAGATACCAACCATTACCAAAAAAACAATGTCAATTTGTGTCAGTTTTATACCTACCATAACTACAGAACCATATTCATTGTAGCAATCATTATCGTTATAACTCAACTTGAGTTATTCTAACCTTTGGAAAAACGAATCATTCTAATATTTCCATCTATTCTCTCATCCACATATCTCCTCATTTCGGTTAATCACGTGTTATCTTAATTGTTTTTCATAGATGTGTACAATAGTATCTATGTATCCATCAATTTCGTACATGACGTATAGAAAGGCAGCCATCTTATTAGTCTTGGATCCAGTGTATTACCGAATTCAAATGCTACATACAATTGTTGCAACGTCTATTTGCTTTTCTGTCCTAAATACAATTTGTATCTAACTTTTGATATACCCTTGTTCTAAACGCGTTAACTCGATAGAACATATACGAAGCTAAGTGGGATATTAAACGATTTGATCGTACTGAAGTCAAACAACTAGCAACAAAATAAACATGGAAACTAACAAACGAATTTTCTTATCAGATATGAAAGACATATCGGAGATCACAAGACTATTAAAGCAGCTTGGAATAGGAGTAACCTACAAACCAACGAAACCACTCCTCTCAATCTTATGTACACAAAATAATGACATGACAAATGAATAAAAGTTAGACATCATTTACAAAATAAATCGTTACAACTGTGAAAAACATTACAGCTGGCAAGTTGGCCGCCCTCTTCCGATTCTTCTGCAAGGACGTCAACTAGCTGTCTTCGCTTATATCAGAGAATGTGGACAATTGTAGATATGCGTTCAACTGAGAAAATGTTAAGATCTTGGACAGAGAGAGTACTTAGAAGACCAGAGAATTTGTAGAAGCGTAGCACTGAGCTCAATCAGCAATCAACAAACATATCGAAATCTATCCAACTTACCGAACAGTTGGAAATATCTTGTAAAACCATAACGTTAAGAATCAGATCAATAGCGTGAAATTAATCAAAAGAAATATGCGAGCGATGACAAAACAAATGTTAGAAGCAACTAACCAATATCAAGGTCGACAGAAAAAGCTGTTAGTCATAATACGGAGAAATTCGAATAGATCACTCTTAATTGAAAGTTTGTGCTAACAATGTTGTCCAAAGTGATAATGAAAGCCTCATGATTAAATCAGAGAACTAATCTCGTACGGAATTCACTATCCCTAATTAAGTGAACTACAAATGAAGTACAATTTCATCACAAAAATATCAAACTAATAAAATAAATCTTTAATTGTAAATTTCAAATGGTTTACGTGTGCATGAGATAATGCATCCAATTTTTCCCGTCTACTACATTTCACTCCAATATAAACAAATAGAGATTGTCCGCTGTCAATGAGATACACATCGTTTTCTGTTAAGGACGCTTTTGGTAATGCATTTTCACATACAAGTGAAATTTCCATTTTACCACTTTCATCTGAAACTCTATAAAAAATTAGCAAAGTAAAAGAAAAAATTGGGTGTATGGTGAAGAAAGCGTGAAACAGGTTTGAAATATTGGTGAACTGAACTCTTGTGAAAAATAATGTAGCAAGTGTGAATGTGAACGTGAATTCTTATTACAATATGGATCGGTCCATAAAAGGATGGAATCTCTCTGACTGATATCCTATTGCTAGCTGATGATGGCATGAATAAGCAATGTTACATGAATTAAGTAAAAATGCTAATCAATAGGATGATGGGTTAAAACTTCTTTTTCCAGTTTGTAGATAGTTTACATAAGATTCTATCATCAGGGCTAGATTAACAATGTCTAAGAAGTGAGTACTAAACACAATAATAATTCACTGAGTGGTCACATATTGAATCACAAATAAATTATAGCTCAATGATTTAAACTATCGAATTGTGTGTCAATTGTCGTATTATAGAGTCCATATTTGTTCCAATGTGTATTAGGAGAATCTCGATCATTCGTAATTAGAAAACTGAAGTAGGTCAGCCGAATCTTTAATCAAGATTTAACGAAGTCACAGACTAATTGAGTTGAAGTTAGAGTTGGCCATAATGATATCGTGCTATTAGTAGTAGTAATGAATAGTCAGTTAAGTTCAATTACGTAACAACAGAAAGCTATTGATAACTAATCCGTAGACTACTTACACTTAATGTATAAATTCGCTTCAGATTTATCAGCAGAAATTCGTCACTTCAAGCGAGGTGGAAAAGATATTTATTTATTTTTGTCGAAGAATTGTAAGTATTAAGGATTTGTTTAGACACAAATTATTACACGGTAATTACTGATTAATCAAATTGTTTGAACTTAACTTGATATGACGGGCTAGAAAGAACTTTAGGTCAATATTTATTGTATCAATTCAGTAACAACTTTGTTCAATGTGACTAGAGTGAAATTTCGGTTAGTTTGACAACTATATTCCCTGTATTAATTCAGGTGAACTACGTTTGGTGTGTATTTTTACAGTAACTTCATGTATTTCCCCTTATGTGGTATTATTAAGTGTAATACGATAGATAAACAATTATATTTTAGCCAAACGACGATGTGATTTTTGGGACTTGTTTGGTGACGTGTTTCTGAAGAGTCAATAAATCTTCATTGCACGAGTTTTGTGCGTTCTTACGTTGCATCATGGGAGTCGCAATGATTCGAGTCTCAAAGTATAAGCAGTAAGACTGAGGACTCAGCAGAGTTGATAGGCACGTAAAAGCGACGACAACCACGGACATTAACAAGACCCTTACAAACACAGCAGTGGCGCCGAAGATATAGAAGTAGGACCGCGGATATATTATCAGCTATATTCCACTTTAATATTAAATATGGGCGTAAAAATGGTCAACTAATGATCAATAAACAATATAATTAACTTTTACTTAGTTAAATAGTTAAAAATGAATTACCTGTAAATGACTTTCTTGCCTATTTTTGGTTTAACTTTTTCTTCTATTGCAACATCTGGCAATAAACTAATGAACTTTTTCTGTATAAAACAAAGAAAAAATATGAATGAAACAGAAACACATGTACATCAATGATTATTGTATGCAACTGTTCTTTTTTATAATAAATAGATTTTAGTAATAATAATAATAATAATAATAATAATAATAATAATAATAATAATAATAATAATGATAAAATTTTAAGCAGAAATGAAACTGATCTAGATGAAAAATAGGCAGAATTTTGTGTTTTAGGTCTTATGTAAATCACTGTTTACAGTAAGAAACGATTGTAACGATTGGATGGGATTCAGTTCTAATAGTTAAACATCAATCGTTTTATTTAAGTAATCTGTTGCTTTATTTAAAGAGGAAATTAGTTTCCTAGTTTATTCTTACACTGCAAATTCAAATTGTTTCAGATCTTAGTCATAAGTTGGTAAATACGGGGGTACTAAAAAAATTGAAGTTTGTTTAGTTAAGTTATAACACAGTGTCTCGATATTGTAGCCGAAATTTAATAATTCATTGTTAGTATGGAGGGTTTATAGAGATTGTAGGCATCCCATAGTGTAAATCATGAACTGATTTTGGTTAAAACCACCATTGAAAACTGGAAAGCACTAGACAGTCGTTTTATCAAAGTATAGAACAACCCGGAAGTATACATTTACGACCCTACTACCAGGGATAGACCTTCAGTTTTGTACATAAACCCCTAACATTTAGACCAATGGACTTACATCCAATATGTTGTACTGAAGAATCGCAAATGCGCATTGTTAATATCTAATATCATTAGGATAACTACATCAACTAGAAAGCGTGAAATCTCCAAAGCCATCGTAATGTTTTCATTTCTGATGGATAAAAATTCAAAAAAAATTTATAATCATACAATGCAGATACCGGGTGACTAGTAGTGATAATGCTATCATGGCTCTTATGGAATAAACAGTTACTATGAGCATGATCCATTTCGATATGGTACTGCATTATCTTATTATTATAACGGAACAAATATTTTAGAAGTTGGAAACGGTTTTTCGAATTATTATTGATTTTACTTTTTGTTCAATAATTACTGAATAACTATTCTAGTATCATACATGAGTTTTGTTATGTCTAAACGATGATTGAAGAAATGGTAGCTCCCAGTGGTAATTTATGATTCATTATTATTATTATTATTATTATTATACATATCCTTACTTTATAATTATCAAGAGACTGGATTACTGTGTCTATGTATTCTGCTTATCGTAAGCTGTCGGTTAACTCATAAACTAGTGTTATACGACTGACTATTCCTATTTTGTTTCCAGTCGATTATTTACAGTCTCCTCTACCCACAGCCACTTTTGGCTTGTTTGCGTACAGTTGTTATTTTTTATATTATGGTGTGGTGAGGTTATACATGCCTGTATATAGACCATGTTTGTTTGAAATATAAATATAGTAGAGGCTGGCTGTTGACTTATGAATTCAAAGACAGGACATAAAGAGGAACTAGTAAATAGTGAGGCAATAAGAACTTAGCTGTTGACTTAAGGTTATTAATGCTGATCCAGTGTATTTAACCAAGTTAGGAACACCAAACTACAGAGTAAATAACAGGCCAAATGAGACGTAGGGTTCTGAATGGTGACTGGGCACGTGATATTGGTTAGTGGGTTCCAAGATATAACACTCACCTAAGTTAATATCTCTAAAAACATGAGTATGACTAGACTATGCCGACTAAGTTAATGAATTCTTGTAAACATCCATACAACCAAACAAAAAAAACACTTTGAAGTGACTTTTACGTCTGCTGATAAGATAATTAGTCGTTTTAGAAATAAGCAACTTACATGTTCCTCAGAACCATCTTCATCTGTCACCTCAGTTTTACACCTTCCATTTCGATCAGACTCCAGTTGTTGTAAAAACTGACTTGCCTAAATAACATCAAGAATGACAAACTTTAACAAGTAAACTATTACCGCACTAAAAATACATAAAGAGTATTTTGGAAATATAAATAACTGATATCCTTGATCTGTTACTCTTAACATAAATTTAAATGGTATAATAGACCTCATCTATCTTCATTATTATACGGAATGCACAGTTGAGAAACTACATTTCGAGTTTCATTCAGAACTGATCTTCATAATTGTTCAATATCAAATGTACAAAGTGTAATTTACGTTTTTGGAGGTAATGGCTTTACAACAGCACTAATTGTTAGTAGAAATATGGATGATTCATAAATGACTTCCTTACGAGCAAATGAATAGATCTCTGTACTAAACTATCCACTTAATAATATCACTTGTCGAGTAACAGTATAATTATTATTATTATTTGACCCTTTGGAATCAAAAACGACCAATAAACAGAATATTTTTAATCATTGCTTACAACATAATCAATCAGTTAACCGATGTGAAATACAAAGACATAAACATTAAGTTAATCTACTTATCTCAGTATATTAATGATTCAGGTGTTCATAAATATTTAGTTGTTTACCTTATGATTAAGGTTTCATAAAAATATCGTAGCATAGCATACTTGACAAAATTCCAATCAGTTTAGTTAGAAAAAATTAGAGCTTATATACAGACGAATGAATGACGACAGATAATTATTCTCTTGTTTCAATATTTCTTTACATGGACAAATTGAAATGTGGAAAAGTATTAAATACAACCTGTAATAGATTCTACTGTCAATAAATTATATAACATAAGATTATGATAATCTTTCGCAACTACGTGTCCTATCTTTTGCATAGAATAATGACAAGATGAAATCATTCTTATGACACACAGTGTTCTTGCTGGATATATATGCATTATTGAGCTTTGTATTTAACGTTCTTCATTCTCGAGTACATAAATTTACTCAAATAGTACGGTTGAAACAAAAACTAATTTGAATCAACATCGAAAAGTAAATCAAATTGTGCAATTATGAAACGCATTGATACATGAAACACATATACACGAGAAAATAATTGCGTTAAACAAGAATAGAAAAAATCAAAACTATGAAAACTGATATATAAAGGAGAAATAACAGACTATATGTGTTATCAATCAGCCATATAGTTTCGTATAAACATTAGCTACGTAAACAACTTGATGAAATCAAAGATTGGGTAGTGACGTATTACATTTTCCATAAGTGGATCTTGACAGATTGATGATGACTTTCATATATAAAAACATTAATGGCCTTACCCTGAATTTTTCTTCTTTACTGCACCCACGTCCATTCCACTGATATGCTTCGTTACCCATATCCAAAATAAAGACATCTGTTGAATTCAAAGAACGCCTTGAAAATGGCACTTCAATTAATTCCATATTTTTACGATCAACTGAGTGAAACAGTAAAAGACGAGGTCTATATTCGTTCGGTTTTACATGATTAAATCCGCTTGCATATCCACCTGCAAGAGTTCTATATTCAGATTATTTTTTAAAAAAGATAGAAAGCAGTGAGTTTAAAAAGGTTTTCATGGTGAACCCATTTCATCAAGTTATCGTTAGCGATTCAAACAAATTCACAACGTGTTTATCGCCTTGCAACAGGTTAGAAACTTACTTCTCTATATATCATTAAATCATATGTTTACTTAATATGCATAAATACGGGTACAACCGGAGACCACGTATATAGGGGAAATGAAATAGTGAAGAGAAAGAGGAAGGTGTATAGTTAAAAACAGATAAATGAATAAAAATAAATGAGTCAAAATAGTGTGCGATAGAAGTAATAGTTTAATAAAAATACGACCAAGAAGAATTCGTCCAGTTTTTTATATTTTTATAAAGAATTTTAACAGAAAATATAGCAGGATCGCCAATGACTCCCGTTTTGAGCCATGTATGATAGTGTCTTAAGTCCCTGAGCCATATCATAAACTGACCACTTCTTTGTCTTCCCCGACAAGTCCAAGAGTCGGCTAATAATGTCCGATGCAGAAGTCACCGGGATCACTTTGGCTACACATGAATAAACCAGAGGCTTCTGTTTCAAGATGGTGATAATGGTTGGACTATTATCACTGAGCACAAACACACATTGCCCAATCTCATTTATTTTTGAATTTTTGCATTCTGTTGCTGATGATTTATTATCAGACCATGAAATTCGATAAATAAGAATATCGTGTTTTTAATTATAGCTACGTAATTATTTATAAACTTACTTCATCAAATGATCTTTTTACTTACGACTAAAGGGTAATGAAAGTAGAAAGTTGAAGAAAAAACACTCAAATCTACAAAATATTAAATTTTCCCACAATGTAATGCCCTGTTGAGTTTGTATAAGCAACCAAATATCGGATAGTTTATTTGACATCAAAATAAAATGTAGCTAAAAGAATACAAACGTTTAGCTTAAAAATAAATTGGCTACTAGTTGAACAAACATTTGATAAATTCAACGTTCAGGTTTTTGTAACACGATGTGATCATATGAATCAATTAAAATCTATCAAATAACTAAGGAATTAATTGAATCACTCAAAAAAAACTGTTGTTTGTCAATCTTTTTTTTCTCAAAGTTGTACAGTTATACCAAACTGTAAAATTATAAGTCTAGTGAAAATCTCTATATTCATCAGAATATCAGTACTGTGATTAGTGATGAAAAATATTAAATGACATGTGACATAAGTAAATTAAACATGATATATCCATAGACCTGATAAAGAAAGACATCAAACAAAATGTTTAACTAAACATAATTTTAAACTTTAAGATAGTGACTAACTAAAGATGTTATAATCCTAAACCAATATAATCATTTTGTTCAAAACTATTTTTTTGCACACCGGTCTGTCATAATTTTAACCATTCCAAAAATATTTACCTAAACAAAAAAACAACAAATATTTTAACCATTACACACAAACACGCTAATGTATAGACAAAATTTATGGTTGCAGTTTTGTTCTCTCCAGCTCAGAGAACAAAACTCCACCCAAATCATCCACCTAAGCTACAAATCTCTACCATCTCAAAAATGTATGATTACATTTTTCTAAAAACAAAAAATCAATATATCATGATTTTCGTTTTATTCATGTGATTCAAATAATTCATTATCAAAACTGAAAATAACAGAAAACTAAGTATTTTTGTGAGAATTTATATTGATTTCCAAACGTATATATTCATAGATCATGGTGATGACCTATTTGTTTTACAATTGTTTCAACCAGTCACAAGATATTTTTGTGTAAAATTGAGATTGTGGAATACATCCTGACGGATCATTAGCCAACATAAGTAAATCGGTTTTATTTTGTAAGAAAAATAAGAAGTGGATTTGTGTACACAATGGTTTCAGAAAGAATTTACATTGTTGTTAGAAAAAAACAACAAGCTATGAAGTACAAACAATTTTTGATAGATTTATACACAAAAGAAGCTTCTCAAAATAATATCAATACAAAACAATATAATAAAAATAGATAACAAGGAATTATGGGAAACCCCATTATTATTTATCAGTCGAGAGTACACGATAATAATTAGTTATACGATTTTGTATAGTTTTAATTTGCTTTGTTAACGATTCATTTGACATCGTTTTAACAATATGTGATTTATTCAAATAAGTTATAGCTGTCCAGAAAAAAATCTCTTCCAAATTGGTATAAGTTAATTCATTTATTGAAGTACACCATAATCTCCAATTTATGTGTGGTTTATTCAATAATGGTTTAACAAGCTTAGCGTCAATATTCCCATGATTGTTATCATTCTCATGATAAACAACTTTTTCCGAACAAATACCACTATCACAGCCAAGATTTGAAGCAAGTTCTATAAGATTGTAATTATTTATATTATCGTTTTGACTACCAACTCCTAGAACAATTAATACTTGTTCTGAATTCATACAATTTGTTAAAGCATCTAATTCAACACGTATTTCATTCCATCTTTCATTATCAGAATTATATGGATTTGTAAGAGATATAGTATCGCCATTTTCATTGTTTAACAAATTGCTATCTTCTTTTCGTATATCAATAACATAGAACACAATTTGAGTTGAACTAATTGCATTAATAGTACAGTGAGTCAATTTTACACTACCAACTGGTTGTTGATCTGTTGTTGGTGCTTCAACTAAACAATTACCAAACAATCGACTACCACCATAACAATACCTAGAACGTATCATATGCTTACGTGAATGTAAAATTGTTGCATTAAAAAGTATACCCTTAGAGTTCTCTTTATCGTTTAATGACAAGCATTGTGGTAAACGTAATATAAATCCTTGTCCAGCCCATGGAGTAGTAGTTCTATGCATTTTTTTTAAATTAATGGATTGTCTATTCATTGTTAAAGCTAAATCTATCCAACTTAAAAGTGTATGCATAAATCCTCCAATCAAATGAACTGTATCAATAGCTGGTCCTAATATTATACAATCAAAACAAATCTCTTCATTATTCATTGAGTTTAAATAGGGAATAATCCGTGTTTGTAATGTTTCTTGTTCCATTTTGTACACATTAGTGTAGTATGAATATATTTTTTTCATGAAACAAGCAGGATTATTCAATACTTGTGTGATTAATTCAGTGATTTTTCGATAGTTTTTAAATTTCTGTTGATCATTTTTATCTACTGATTCATTTCCATTGAATTCTATCAATAAACTTTTATTCATCAAATTAAATGAGTTTAATATATGAACCATTTCTTTATTCAACCATAACCAACCAGTATTCATTTCAGTTTCAAAAATAGACAACCATATATATTTATCATTGCTTATTAAATCATTCCATTGTTGATTGCACAATGTACAAGTTATTAAATCATTTCCATTGAGATACTGAAAAATTCTTAATAATAATTCATTTGGTACTTTGTCAATTTCATTCAGGAATTGAGACATCAGTAAAATTTTCAAAAACTTTATGAGTAATAAATAATTAAATTTACTGACATTTTGATACACTACACAAACAGAAGACCAATAAGATTTCATACAATGCAATCAAATAACATCGATAATATTATTTAAGTAGACTACCACTGATTTTGATTGGAGATCAACATGTCATTAACAGAATGGTATAAAGCTTTACAATTTATCTATGTAATTATAGAATAACATTATTTTAACTTAACAACAGTCTGTCTTTTATTATTGACTAAATGAGATAGTCTTACCATGTTTAGTGCTAGTAATAAACCCCCTGAGTAAAGAAATGCAATATATAACAACTAATTGACATATAACTATTTTACTTCTACGTGGAATAGAACACGTGTTTTTCTGTTTAAATTTGTAAGATAATTTCCAGAGGGGGAATATCACTAAATGATATTGTTGTCTAACAAAAATAATTATATTCATGATGGAGATATATGCATCAATGTGAACTTTCTGAGCAGTCAGTTGATTCAAACCAATAAAGTAATCAGTGTTTAACCATTAATTTCTAGAATTATATTGAGGAAGAAGAGATATCTGAGAACTGGTCAAGGTAAAATAGATAACTTTAGTTCAGGGAAAAGCAAATATTTGTATAATGCGATGAGATGAAAGTTATTAGAATTAGATGATACACTTACTCAATAGATTTGGAACAATCTGATCACACACGTACTTCCTAAGACATTGTGTATGCAAAAATCGATGGTCAATTAGACAAATTAAAAGATAAGAGAAACAAAAACAATAATGTGAAAACCGCGCTGAATAGTAGATCAGTATTATCAGGGTATGTTAAGGGTAAGAACAAATTGCTTTTGAACACATAAAAGAGGTTTCAGTTTTCGTATAGCCAAGGCCTCATTAAACTTCAATCTTCTTTCGTGGAAACTTTTGTACAAAATTACAGAAGCTGACTTGATATCAACCTTATGATCGGTTTCAACCAAATGTTCGAAATGTAAATATATCACATAATTCTGGTGACCATCATATCGCATTATCTAAATTTATTAAAGGGACTAATTGTTTTAAAATTCTGAAGAGAAGAATCCCTGCGCACACTATTAATACGTTAGATGAACTTGTTAATCTTGTGTGCAAAATCATATCTGAACGAGTGGAACTAGACTTTTTAACTGCTGTTTGCCAAATGAAAAATCCCCAAATCAGTCACAAAAGAATTTACGTCCAAATAAATCACAACCAAATATTTCATATTTTACTATACTGACAAAATGGTATGTAAATAATTGCCAAGATAGATTAATCACATATTCAAGCATTGGCTGCATAAACAGGATCAATCGTATTCGTACTAAAGATACTAATAAGGAAGACTTCAAGCTCTTAAATGAAACATTGATAAATAACGGTTATTTATTGAAGTTCATAGACCACTGGAAAGTTAGCAATGTGGTGAGACCTACAATGTTTTCTGCACCCAAAAGCGTGTCTATATTACCCTACCATTCAAAGCTGATTCAAATACTTCTCATGTTGAAACGAATACTTAAATTAGCTATCAATAGGACATTTTACTCAGCCCAATTTGTCATTATCGAAAGGTCAAAGTTTATTCTTCGTCAAAATGCAAACAGCATGTAAGCGGTTTTATCACATCCCATTGCGTCTATCAATTTGCATGTATGTGCTGTAACACGTACAACGGGAGGGGCAATCGCGATCTGCAAGTAAGGGATGGCTGCACACACCTAAATGGCTACTAAAACGAATGAATTCTAATAGTCAGAAATGTCGCGCGATAGACGAAATCTAACTCCGTTGCGAAACATTTAGTTGAAACCGATCATAAGGTTGATATCAAGTCAGCTTCTGTAATTTTGTACAAAAGTTTCCACGAAAGAAGATTGAAGTTTATTGAGGCCTTGGCTATACGAAAACTGAAACCTCTTTTATGTGTTCAAAAGCAATTTGTTCTTACCCTTAACATACCCTGATAATACTGATCTACTATTCAGCGCGGTTTTCACATTATTGTTTTTGTTTCCCTTATCTTTTAATTTGTCTAATTGACCATCGATTTTTGCATACACAATGTCTTAGGAAGTACGTGTGTGATCAGATTGTTCCAAATCTATTGAGTAAGTGTATCATCTAATTCTAATAACTTTCATCTCATCGCATTATACAAATGTATCAAGGGGACTAATTGTTTTAAAAGTGAACATGTTTTTAATATGAAGCTATGCAATGTGGTACTACGTCATGTGTTTGTTCGTTCTTTTCTCTGAATGCATATTTTTACGCATGAATATCTGTGGAGATTGAAAGTTTCACGAAAATTGCTTTCTTAGTACCTTGACGGCATTCAGTAGAAAATTATATTTTGAATCTTTCAGTAATTGAACTTAAAGTACCAACGAATAATTAAAATTTAACTTTGAGATTAATTATCTCAAGGCTCATCCGTTGGATGTAACTGAACACCAGAATTACTCTTTACACTTACATTAAATCACTGGTGGCCATCGTTACACATTAACATGGTAAGTAATGTGATGTTTTTTTAAAATTGGGCAAATGAAAGTCTTAGTCAGAACACCAATACTGGGGTCCCATCTCAACTTGTTAAAGAATCCCAAGAAGAGACGCACATCTGGGACCAAATGTTTTTAAAATATTCACACTCAAATGAAGAAATCGTAACTAATAATCTCTTAAAACAGTTCATTGTATTGACCTCCTCGGGTATCACAATAAAATGTTTTTGACTAAGTAATTTATATGAAAGGAAATAAAACTAACAGAAGTTTCTGCCATACTGCAGACAAGCCCCAGTAGTGATAACTAACTAACAAAACATCCTAACGACTATGTTTCGCCACCTAATACAAAATATTTAAAGCAATTGACCCTTTTTATAATTTTTGATAGAACAATGAAAAAACAACGTTGATCCTAAGTGTGATGTATTTGTGCTATACATTTTGAACAATCTGGTCACTAATATAATTGTCAAGGCATTTTGTGTAAACGCCAATTCAATGAAAGTTCAAGTAAACCTTTATGAATTTTCATAAAAACTGCCTTGAAAAGTATATGTGTGACTAGACTGCTCAAAATGTACATCGCAAATATACCACACATTTCAGACAGATTACATCTTTTTGTTATTCTACCAAAATAAGATAATAATAATACTTGGTCGATGGAATACAGTCTGCACCATGGGCTAGATAATGTGATATGTAACTTAACTAGTGACCTGTGTTACAAATTTTTATGTCCAAATTAAAGATTTTCATCATCTAATGACGTATAAAATAGGGTTAAATAGTTTCTTGAAAACGGATTTTTGGGAAATTTATCATTCAGTTAATTTGTGCAAAAATTTATAACGATGTTTAACCAACAAAATTAAATTTACACTGAACTTACTCAAAGCGATTAAAATAAGTTTTAAACAAATCAGACTCAAATCCGTCCACTTCTCGATGTTGAACTGCTTTATCGTCAAGAAAAGTATCCAATTCAACCGTTTTATAAGCTGCTGTTCCGTATTCATCCTAAAATGGGTTAAAATTTTGCTTTTCATATCAGAAAAATCAGAAACTAAGCTACAACCAATGAATATATTTTCCAGTACAGTTTTGGAAGTATCGATGATGTATGAATTGATAATAATTGCTTATTTCTTCGCTTGTTAGTTTTCTAAACACGATTGATGTTTCCTTAGCAACTGTCATATTGTTTCAAATGTGATCAAAATGCATACTTAGTAAAAACTACTGAATTGTATGTTGTAAATGACCAAGTTAACCTAGGAAAACGTCTCTTTGAAATATACTAAACTGTGTTCAAAGCTAAGTTATAAAATATCCCAAGGTGTTTCTGTCGTCTACTGATTTATTTCCAGTCAACCGGTTGCTTAAACAGTACTTTAGACAATCAATACTTTAATCGATTATATTCTGCTACATTATTTATTATAATATGGATTTCAAACCCTCCAAACTATGCCATTATTATTTCAGATTAGATACTTACCTGTATATCAAGAGTTCCGTATGCTAAGACATAATTTGGAATCATCAATAATAAGAAAAATCCATCAATGAATTCTGATCATCATTGAACATGTTAGAACAGCGACCTCTGCTAGATTAAGTCTAGAATCAACAGGCTCAAAGAGTGCCAATATTTCGATGTTCAAAGAGATTAGGTCGTATATTGTGAACTTTATGATCAATAATAAAATAAACACCATAATGTAAGCAATCGTGCATGTGTGTTGATGAGATATCGTAAACTAGGACGAAAATACTACTTAACTTCGCAAAACATTAAATACATGCACTTTCTATCAACACTTCCTGATAATATCTTTAAATTTGGGTAGAATTTCCATAGTACAGTGAATCCCAAGGATTAATAATAGCTATCTAGACCATCGATACCACTAAAGTATGAAGTTTTGAAATACTTGATCGAAATTTAACAAAAACTAGAAATTACTTATGAAGTAACTCCTGAGAAATATTCAACGGATACCTTCATCATTTTCCCTTAGCTGAACATAACTACTGTGACAATTATTTGCAGAGAAATTATTGAAATGTCACAAAACTTCAGAAAAACCTAAACTTTCATATGCTGATTCACCTATCAAAAAGACAAACATAATTCTGTCTGATCCTTAGGTAAATTGTGACTAGAAATTGTTGATTGAAGATTAACTTTATCTACAATATACTGATTTTTTTAAAAAACTAGGTCAGGTTGTCTATATCTAAAATATGTATAAACACGGGATACAATGGACATCTAGGATGCAGCTGGATGATCTAGACTTCACAGATGATATAGCTTTTCTATCGCACACGCAACAACAAATACAGAAGACCATCAGTGTAGCAGCAGCCTCAACAGCAGTAGGTCTCAATATACACAAAGGAAAAAGCAAGATTATCCGATACAACACAGCATGCACCAATCGAATCACACTTGATGGAAAAGCTTTGGAGGGTGTAAAAACCTTTATATATCTGGGCAGCATCATTGATGGGCACGGTGGATCTGATGCAGATGTGAAGGCGAGGATCGGCAAAACAAAAGCAGCATATCTACAAGTGAAGAACATATGGAACTAAAAACAACTGCCAACCAACACCAAGGTCGGAATTTTCAATACAAATGTCAAGACCATTCTACTGTACGTGGCGGAAACCTGGAGAACTATGAAACCCATCAACCAGAAGATACAAGTGTTTATTAACAGCTGTCTAGGCAAAATACTTCGGATCCTTTGGCCAGATACTATCAGCCACAACCTACTGTGGGAGAAGACAAAAGAGATCACAGCGGAGGAAGCAATCAGGAAGAAGCGCTGGAAGTGGATAGGACACACAGTGATGAAAGCATCCAACTGTGTCACAGGGCAAGCCCTCACATGGAATCCTCAAGGCCAAAGAAATAATGGAAGACCAAAGAACACATTACACCGAGATGCAGACAGACATGAGAAGAATGAACAAAAATTGGATAGGACTGGAAAGGTAGGCCTATGCTTCATTGGGGGTAACAAACGTAAGTATATAAGCACGTAAACTTACCGCAGTGCTTTCACGTCCAATCCAAAAATGAACATCATACAACAGATCATCACCAACTTTTTCGGTATTTAAAACAATATAGGAATCACCACGGAAAAATTTGCCAATATCTTCACCTCGAACAACTTCTAACTGGAAATTCTAAATACATGGTACACAGTATTGATTGTTTAACATATTTAATCACTGATATATTAATAAGTTAAAATTTATAACAACTTTTCTGTATTGTCATTTGCTTTTATATAAACACTCACGTACTTGAAATTATAGTACGATATGAGCTCACATATTTATATTTTGGAAACATTACAGTTAGTACAAAAAAGGAAAATAGTATTCAATTACAAAGATAGCGATAAGAACATGCATACTGAACAGTAGCAGGAACAAAAAAATGAGTCGATAACAGTGATTGGTCGTGTTTCCGTTATTGATGAGATCTCATGATTTTTGGTCAAAAAGGGTAAGAGTGATAATCAGTCTGGGACTATATGAGTCTTAAGTAGTTGGGGGTTAACTCGAATATGATTAGTTGATTTACATATAGCGATAGAGATTAACACTAGCTAAAGAGCGTGTAACCGACCTCTATTGAAAATCCACGCACAGTACTTATCATCGCTACTTAATGAATTCAGTTTATGCTGTGTTCCCAAACGGGTAAATGGAAATATGTAGTATCTTCTTCGAAAGACCAAAGAACAAACGGGTATATATATAGACTACCTGCTTGACTGTAGCCTGACCAAGACTGTGTACGACAGTTTAGAACCTTGCTTAGGAAAGCTATCAACGGACAGAATTATTCATACGAATTCAAACGCCAAGTTATGCCTAAAGATACTGAAAAAGACAATTTCTATATGAGGACAAATTTGTTGTGGAAAGCTTAGTGAGCGCTGCTCGGAGCCTACAAACCTCAAGTCAGGAAATGGCCGAAAGTAAAATATACTGTTAAGTGCACGGTCAAGGCGAAGGTGTGCCCCTCAAATAACTGAATGACACTGAAATTGTTGCAAATGATACAAATCCGAAAGGTCTTGGATATATAAAACGGGAATACCAGCGATTAAAGGAAATAAATTAGTCCATATTCAAAGTAGACAAGAGGTAGAAAGCAACCTTTTTAAAAAGGTATTTCATAAAAGAAAAAGAAGGAACAACAATGTGACTAAAAGAACAAACTAGGACGCCAATATAGAAATAGGCGAATGAGGTAAGTGGTTTGTAAAGTTAAAGAATTATCATCCGGCTTTGTTAAAAGCTATGAGAATGACTAAATATCGCACGAACTACTGGTTATTAGTAAGTAGTATGAAGTGAGCCCTAGAAACAGGTAAGGAAGATCTGACGTCACGAAGTAACAAGCTGATTTAATATTTCAATCCCTATCGATCAGTATACAGAATCAACCTTTATAAATCCAAAGAATCCCACCTTCGTGAAGATGGTGAGCTTAATTCACCTAATAAAATGTACTATTCCTCAGGTTTTACTTAAAAGAAACTATATCAAGGTTTTTCGTTTGTGTTCCGACTGAAGTTGATTTGCAAATTACCATATAAAATCCGAGTAGGTAAACATTATTCACAAACTCAAATGACTTGAAAACTTATAGAAGCTCTCTTATTTATAACGATCTGTATCAGGAAGACACATTATATATACATATTCCTCCCTAGATAAAATTCTGATGAATTTACTGACCAATGCATTTGGCTACACACATTGTCAACGTTACAGCATGTTAGGTGATGAGGCAGAATATCCCATAGTTCAGGTTCTAATTCAAACTATTACATGGCATGGATAAATCAAGTTGGAGGCTTTGGCCACTTTACTGTACAGACTGGTTCCTGTTTGAAATACTTTGAATAATAGTGTCATATGCTATCTGAAATTTAACTTAGGAACTTGTTATTCCAGTGGGAATCCTCTAGAATTCGATTGTATAACCTTTTCAAAAATCAAGAAAATAGGTTACACTAACACTGTAAGACTTAGTTGCTTGGTGAGTTGTCAAGGCGCTCAGTATGCTTTTCTGGACTACATTTCGGCTGTGACTACATCCACAGACCTTTTTAATGAACACTGCATTCATGCTCAATATTTACACTGAAAAAAAATATTTCTTCATACTTTTGTATTTCAGCTATGAAATAAGAATTCGCTTAGTTCATTTTCTTATATTCTATTTTGTATGATTCGTTATATCATATTGAAGAATCATCAAAGTAAGACGAATCCAGTATAAATGTATATTATCTGTTTAATAAATTAATAATTCAGACTTTTGTATAGACAAAAGATCTATGAGTACGTGGTATATCCTGAAAAAGATATCGTCCGAATGTTAAACAGAAAACAAAACAAGTATCTTTTTACGTATACATTCATTTCCTTGCTACTACTTCGAAAAAAAAAATGTGTATCTGTAAACATCTAATTTCACTTTATCCGACGAAAGCTGTTTTTGTTGAACATCAATGAGTTATGTCCATTCTTAAACTTATTATCATGTGTAAGGATTTACTAAACATTATAATTTTTCTGTTTTCTAGACTACAGTGAATCATCATATCTTGACTGGTCTACTAAGAGTCCATGCAGTATTGTTTACTTGATAGCTTTCTATCAGTGTCCCGACGCTCTTCTTTTTCATAAATATCAAAATAGAATACTCAAAAGAGATAGTGGGTTTGCCAAATTCCACACAATTGGTCCCAACGGGTTAAATTGTAGGGAGCGAGAACAACAAATATTTTAAAATTTGGTATGTCAATTTTGTTTCTTTTATTGTACAACTTCCATACATATGTTGCTATCAGTAAAATGCACTTTTACACATGAAATCTTGTGAGAAACTTTTTAAATTAGATTTCCCGTTTGAAATTAACATTCGTAAGATAGATTTAAGCCACGTGGAACAAAATGAATTTACCCCATCCCTTAAAATTTGTTGTTCTTGTTTTAAAAAATATTCAATGTCATCATAAAGGAACAATTTTCCATAGTAAAGATAGGGGATTAAATGAAGATTAAGGTAGATAAACTGTTGAAAATGCTATATCCTCAAACACAACGTGTAAAGAAGGAAATCATTTTTAAATTTACACGTCGATTTGAGGTGATTTTCATCCGATTGAGTTCAATGCATTTTCATTGTACCAACAAATTTAGAGAGAATTCTATTCACTGACATTCAATGTATTTTCAATTGTAGTCGGTTATTTTATTCTAAATGCATTTTCCCTTGTATCAATTATTTCATTGTGATTTTGTGTTCAGTGAAAAATACTCAGGTTGCGGTGTGTGCTACTGATATCGACAGATATAAGTAGTATGTATCACCATTAGAATGTGAAATGCCTGGAGGAAGAAGGTTAGGAAGATTGAAGAAAAGAGAACGAGAACGAAGAATAATTTATATGGAAACGAAAGAACAATGAAGTCTTAGACGATTGATTGATATTTTGCAAATGAATTATTTACGGTATGGTCCTCAGATTTTACTAAGATTTCCTGTAATTTTGTATTCAAATACATTCGACTATCCACACTTGTGTTCTCGTTCACGACAAGGTGAACAAATTCTGCAGTTAATAATCACTGAATCGATAAATAACTGAATTAACTTGAACGTTATTTAATCCCTCTAGCATAATGGATTGCTTACTCTGATTATTGGGTAGTGAAGAAGAGGATAAAGTAGTCTCATTCACCGTATTGAAGTCGAAGTTGCAAATTAGTAGATTACTATACAAATGTATTCTAAACTTACATTGCCTTATTGGCAAAATGGATAAAGCTAATTACACCAAAATTGTTAGATTGATGGATTATGGATGTATAAGAGTTTATTTGATTTTATCACCTAATATATCACACAGTTATGAAAAACTACTTCTCATTACATCGATTAAATTTATCAGAGACTAACCTTTTTAAACACCATTTATTTGTTATCCTTATGACCTTTAACAGACTACATCAAGTAAACACAAACATGTGAATAGAATATACAAAACGACCAATTTTGTGAATGGTAAAGTTTCTTAAATGGTCTGTCTTTGTATCTAATAACTGCACACTTCATAAGACATGTTTTTGACCAGCTAATCGTTCAAAAATAAATTTTGATTACGTTATCATATGCAGGGAGTTGTACAGTCCTCTCTGGTTTTCCATGGGAACTTAATATATTTTAATCGGTGATGAAACCCACCTATAAACCAGAAAATCTCTCAACTAAGTTATATCAAATCATAGAAATTACATAAAAAACGGACAGACGAATTCATCTAAATAAGTTTTACTACTAGATCACATTCTAACTCAATGTCAGTCTTATTTAGCATAACTCCTGTTTCAATTCAGTATGAAAATTAATCGGCATAACATTCATTTTACTTCAATGTTACATTTATTCGGTATAATATTCTTTTGTATTAATCTGATGTGAATTCCGTTTAGTATGATATCCGGCTTGCACTTAGTATAAACGTTGGTTCTCTGTTTTTGGTCATGAGTCGCATATATGACATAACGTGATCTAGTTTCTGTATAGGGTGCCGTCCAAGTATTCAATCTAGCGTATCATAGTATACGGCAGAGAAAGTAACCATCTGTCATATTACTAACAATTACAAATATAAACTTGTTAATTTTGCAGAAATCGTAATTTGTTATTGAGATTTATTCTAGTTAGTCTAACCACTTTCAAATAAATAATTTTTCCTCAATAACATGTACGAAGAATTTCTGTGGTGAAATAAGAAGCCTCTAAAACTAGTAATACGTGAATTGCTAAAATATGGCTTGATGCACTATTTTTATTGTGTGATTATAGTCCATTATCACAAACATCAAAGTTAATGGGGTTGACGAAACTAGCTTAATTAAAGAACGAAAACTGTCATCTACTACTTGCTACAATAAATACTTGTCACTAACAATTATGCGTACAGGAATGCAAGCATGTCAAGGCATGTATGTAGAAACAGTGCATCAACTTTAGAATGTTGACATTTTACCTAAGTCGTTATGAAAAAACGACAAAATAAACTGAAAAGAACATAAATAAATACAATAATTTAGAAACTAATCACTAGTAAAAATATCTAAAATTACTTTTATTCGCCAGACCATTAGAGTAGAGGAGGCAATCTTTCGTACCGGTCCCCATGCTGGCTCTTTCTCAGCAGACTCCTCTGCAAATAAATCAAGGGAACCATATATCAACACTTTACTTTCACATTTATCCATTAAGCTTTAAACATATGACCAAAAATCATTACAGGTTACTAGCTTTCAGTATTCAGAACATAATCTACTTAGTGTTCCCTACCATAAAAATTTTGAACACAATAACTGTAATGAAGGTAAGCTTTTAATGTAACACCTTTAATTTAGGAAAATATAAAGTATACCTCTGTAGAAAAGGTTGTTAGAAATGCTAACAAAAGATAAAACCTAATTGGCTTACTGTTCATGTTAAACTACAAAGGGTTCCGTAGACTCCTTTATTGAGTAGGGAATGCAAACTTAATCCACTCGTTTAAGTATTTACTCTTGATACGCGACCGAAGTTTGATATTTATTTCAACTCCACTCATTAACATCGTATCAAGAAACGGTTGTCGATTTGAGTTATTCCATATCCTATTCAAAAATGCAGCCAAACTGAATACTATCTTCTATAACTACCCCAAAATAAGAACGACCAGCAAAGACAGACTGCCTGAATTCGCCAAATCTATGTGTATCTACCAGTTCAACTGCTCCTGTGGAGCCAGTTATATAGGGCGTACAATTCGGCAAGTTCGTCACCGCATTACAGAACATCATCCATCGTGGCTAAATAAAGGACAGGTAAAAGTGATTAAAAGTTCTATTCTCGCTCATTTGGTTGACACAGGTCACCAAGTTGAATTGAATAAAGCTTTTAAGGTTATCTACCATATCCCATCAAATTTACCACATGGTTTACGAGTGCGCCTTTTACACATTGCGGAAGCCATCGCAATCCATGTTCACAAACCTGACCTTTGCATTCAGAAGAAATTTGTTCAACCACTTTCGCTGCCTTGGCCATCTGTATAACATTCCCTTTAACTGAACTATTTTCCATACCTGTAGCATTTGGTTTGTAGTTTTTAATTTTGGTCTTTTTGTTTTGTTGTTTCTCTTTTTTCCTTTTCTTTTTAAACTTTATAATTTCTCAACATTCATCTCTTGATTCTTACGTAACTGCTATTCTATTGACCAACCATTACAAATTCTGTTCCTTCTCTTTTTCATATATTATGCAACTTAGCAACTTCTTGATTTAATAATTACTTTGAATATTAATCATCTTCCTCCCAAAATACTAGATGTTAATTTAAATGTCATTATGTAATTATTACGTAACTTATCCACTCAATGAGTATTATATCATTATTGTAAATCATATATATATTAGTGTAGAGCCATGATGAAAAACTAACTGAAAAGAAATTTCTTCGCTCAATTCGTTCCTTCTGTATTTATCAAATGTCCAAATGGGAATTTTCACTATATCAAAAATATGTGTTTGGTCGAATAATATCAGCTGATTACAACTATCACAGTAATACGTTGATATTTCAACAGTCGGTTAAAGCATAGACGATCATAGAGACTTTTTTAGTTTACAACATAAACTAGTTATGCATAAACAGCCATTGGAGAAGAGTTTTGCATGGTTGTTTATCTGAGTGCAGGACTGCACTCCGATAAAGATTGAACCCGGGACCTCCAAGTTCCTTGGTGAGCATGTTATCTTGATACTACCGTGTTGGTATTTAATAGTTCACAGTCGTAACGTCAGTCAATTCATAATAATATGATTGGTCCGTCCATAAATTAGTCCTATCAATTTTTGCCAACTTTTAATCCAAACAACCCTGACCCTATCTGAACTCCTAATTTATAATTCTAAACTTTCTTCGTTCATTTATCATGCCGGGACCATATATCATTAAGAATTTTGTTAATTATCGTAAATTGTTTTATAACCGAACGCTGTTTCCGGAATGGTTAATAAGCAGCCCAAGGTCGTTACTAAAATACAGTTCTACCGTACCAATAATTACTACTACCATCTTGAAAATCTTAAACTAAACCGTTAATGATAGCAAAAGACTAGGCATTAAGTAACAGAAAATAAAAAGCGAAATCAAACCACCAATTACTAAAACGGTCATATGGATAGACGTCAATATTACTATCGCTACTTTAATACTCACTTTTTACAGCTCTTTCTACATCGGACCCGAAAAGTGCAAGGTTAGTGTCCTTCCAATTGTACAGCTTCTCGCCCACAAGACCAGCCATCTCATTGACAAAACGGATCAATGTCTAGCGTCCAAACAACCTGGGTTTAAATTTACTTTCTATGGACCAATAAGATTACAATTATTAGTTTAATCGATCAGTTAGACGCAATTGGCTAACCAATAAAACATATGATTGGTCACAAAAATTTCAGTGTCCTACTTTAGTGTGGTAACAAAAGTAATGTTCACGAAAAACCAATAATAATTCATATGTGAGTATGACAACTGCGAATAATTCATTCACATCACGTGGCCTTGAGTATGTGAAATAGCCTAATAAGGATTGTTATTGTACGAAATGCAGTGAAGTTATTGGTGTAAGGCTTCATTCAACCGTTTTCGAAATAGATTGTTTGTTCTGATTTGGCGCCGCAACTAAATATTCGGTGTCATTACCAAGGTTTGACTTAATAATTACAAATCAATTGATCATTGGACATATTGATAATAGCAAAATAATAAGGCATCTATAATATCCAAATAAGTAGAAACTAGGATTTCTGACATTTTGCAACTTAGTTTAAGTCCCTTCTTCAGAGAGTTAACTCATGCTAATTTGTTTCAGCTATTTATTTGCTCTCTGAAGAAGCGATTTAAACTGAGTTGCGAAACGTCAGAAATTCTAGTTTCTACTCACTAGGAGTTCGCTCAAACTGCAGATTTAGTGTACTTCAAATGTGAGTGAAGCATTACTAAATTCACGCCTTTCATTTTCTGTTTTAGGTTTTTAACCTACAGAGCACTTAATACATTATATCAATAAACAGAGACTGGTTAATATTGTGAAAACCACTTGTACTTGATTCATAACCAGTGCTATTATCTCAAGAGCTTTTTTAGTCCAGCATACAATCAATTTTTAATGGTTGGCTTAGATGCGGAACAAGTTTTAACATGTTATCATTAGATAAATAAAGAAAATGAATTCAGGAATCTTAATAACGCAGTCAGATGACTAAGCTTATTAGGACTAAGCTGATCAACTTAGTCTTCTATTTGGGTTATCTTGGTTTATCAAGGGGATTAACTGGTTCACATAACAAATCAACAACTCCAAAATAGTTAAATAGAGCTTGTTCATACTTGGAATTGAAAGTTTAAGTTTATCACGTAACACAACATAGAAAGTTTGTCAAATACACACTTAGAATGAATATTAAACAAAAACACGAAGATTTCAGTTTCCGCTTCAACCATTCACATGGCGTGCATACTTACATAACAATATATTCTCTGCATTTCTACCATGAGAAAGGAGTAACTATCATTAATTACTTAGACATGATGCTCTGAACGTAGTTCTAAGCCATGTTTTGGACTAAATAAAGGAATAACTGCTCCAAATGAATAACCTATTAGTGTTCATCATCCCCTAATTAGGAACAACATAGATGAATAGTTGGGCACGAATGTTTTGTGAATATTTTTTCAAACTGTAGCGAGTTTGTGAAGATATTTGAATTCAATTTTTAACATCACGGACTATTCTTAATTAGACAACAACAGGAAACCAGAAAACATTGGACAACTGTTTCATCCTGGTATTGAGCCCATCAATGCAAATCCGCGACCCTGCAGGAGACCGAACCCACGCCCTTCGATCTCGCGACGTACCCTCTGTGAAACTGAAGGTCCTGGGCTCGGCCCCTTGTGGCAAGGTCGTGGTTACGCATAGATGCGAAGTCTAACAATAGGATGAAAAAAATGTCCAATGCTTCCAGCTTTTCAATAGTTTTTTAACTGAAACCAGCCCGTGATACTAACCAGAGAATTTTTCCCCAAAAACAGATTAGTCGGAAAATCTAGAGAAATAAATACTTTGATTGGGCGATATTAGGTCAAATTTTTATTTACAAAATTTAAAGAACACCAGAATGG